AAAAATTCACAACAACTGCGGCTAGTTGAAAATCTAGTATGCATAGGTTAAAATAAAATACAAACATACTCTCTAATAGCGAATTCTATAAACTATAAGTATGACTAAAACCCAAAAATCCCCAAAAAATCCAAAAATCCGCTAATTTTTGGTTAATTTTTGTCTTTTTTCGTTATTTTTCGTTAATTAATGGAAAATTAACGGAAATTAACCTCTGTCCGCTATTAACGGATCCGGGTGGCCACCTCTAACGCCCACCGTCCAAGGTGGAGAGGGCCGGCTGGCCTCCAACAGCCAAGCTGCTGGGAGGGAAAAGGTTTGGAAAATGTGATGGATAACAGGGGCATTACTTCAAAAATATTCCATGTTGTGTGCTGAAGTCAGATGATTCGACCTTGATCTGTGTTCGACTTTGACCTTGTCCTTTGCAGCATCACACTCTGGGGCACACCAGAAATGCATTGGCCTCAAGAGCACTGGTGCCTATGCTAGATAGGTTATCAGCCGTTGATACTGCCAAAAATTTGGGCAGATTTTAAAATCGGTCGTGGGGTGGCAAATCTTGGCCCACACCTTTGCAGACGTTCATGTTGTTCTGCAATATGTTGCAATGCGATGTGCTTCACAGTCAAAATGTTAAACGGACCATGAAGGCAGACTCAGCGGCATGATGGAGGTAGACGCTTGCAGGCAAGTAAGCATGGGGTTAGTTGGTGGTGTATCCCTATTAGGTCATCACTACCTCCAATGGGTAAGCTCCTTGCCATTAGTACACAACAAATACAATATAAAAAAGGGTAATGCATTGCATAAATGCCGGTGAAGAGAAGTTTTGCGATTTGGTGATTTGAATATTGTTTGGTAGTTGGTGAGGAGAATATGGCACAATATCCAAAATGAATTGTGGCTTTGAAATGGTATTATAGAAGAGAGTGAGTGGCAAGAAAATTATGATATGTTTACGGGGCAAGTTTGCTCATGTTTCAAGTATGAACTCACATACTAAAGTGTGACAAAGTGTGTCCCATGATGAATTTCTAGGAAAATAGGCACAAACTGATATAGTGTTATGTAAGCCCCTATGATTCAAGTGTAGTCATTATTGACATGAGTTGTATCGGGATGCTTTGGATATGTGGAGGCACAATTTGAGTAGCGAATGCACATAAGCAGGATCTTTACTTGAGCGATTCAATTAGAGGACATGCATCTGATTGTGTGCCCCCCTTTTTTTTGAAGTTATATATACCCAGGAAGTTTACTTGCATGAGACACATGGTGTGGGGTATTTACAGCCGGCGCGCATCATCGCTGTGCAACATAGCACTGATATGAGTCAACGTCTGGTCTGTTGAGGCCTAAAAAAATTGACGCTCTCCATGTGGAATTTGTCTTTGGATTGCGCCGGTGCGAGAAAGATCCCAAAGGCTATTCTAGTGTTGATGCAGCGTTACCCAAACCCTTATAACTTGCCTAGATTCCAATTGTTCTGCAATCCTTTATATGACTTTTGATTTGCATTAGAGGTGGCCACCCAGATCCGTTAATAGCGGACAGAGGTTAATTTCCGTTAATTTTCCGTTAATTAACGGAAAATAACGAAAAAAGACAAAAATTAACCAAAAATTAACGGATTTTTAGATTTTTTGGGGATTTTTGGGTTTTAGTCATACTTGTAGTTTATGGAATTCGCTATTAGAGAGTATGTTTGTATTTTATTTCAACCTATGCATACTAGATTTTCAACTAGCCGCAGTTGTTGTGATTTTTGGGGGTTTTTTTCGATTTTTTTGGATTTTTTTCGTTTTTTCTGAATTTTTCTCCCTTTTTCTTTAACGAAATTTAACGGACAGCTGATAAAAATTAACGAACCGGATTTAACGGACCGGATGGCACCTTTGAGTGGCCACCTCTAATTTGCATATCAATCCGAAAGAGGCGTGCTGTCGCGTTTCAATAGAATTCGATCTCTGTAAAGTTGCCGAAACTCGGGTGTGCTACAATCTGGCGGGATTACGGGATGTGCTGGACACTGAGACGGTGAGGACGGTGGTCATCATTGTCATGGGGGTGGCAGCAGAAAAGTGGCTGCTTTTCTTCCCAACAGGCAAGAACAAGCTTTCGTGCAAAATGTCGGTAAGAGGGACACGGAAAACAACAAAACGTGCATTTTGCGCACAGGCGGAATGCAAGAATAATGCCACAACAACAAACCTGCACACAAACAGGTCATTTTTGGGTCACCCAACGGACAAGAAAACCACAATATTGCACACAAAAAAGGTGTACCTTTGCGCGTGCCGCGCGCACAAACACAGGCGAACATCGCTGGGTCTAGTGCGTCAATGCACGGGGTCGGTGGGGGGGGGAAGCGGAACCCGTATCATACATGTTTTTTTTGTAAAAACTTTCTTAAGCTTGTGATATAAAGCATGAGAACTGGTGTTTTAAAGGCGTTCATACTCTTATTTTTTAGTGCACTCAGAAATGGCGATATTGCACACAAGTTTCCTTGTTTTCCGATGGACAATCTTGAGCACAACAATTTTGCCCAAAAAAGCACATAATTGCGATGTTGCACACAAGTGCACCCTTTTGAACCTTACCGACATTTTGCACGAAAGTTAGTTCAAGCCATTCACTGGCAAGCATGGTGGCAGCAAAGGAGGTTTATCAAGGCAACTGCTGATGATCAACGGTCCGATGGAAGCGGGTGAAGACTCTTCGCAGGCATGCAAGCAATTGCTCGATCAACACTGCAGTGAGCAAAGTGATTTTGGCGATGAACCGCTCGACGACAGGGGAGCAAGAGGAGATGAATTATTTCGCCTGAATATTGGAAATATTAGACGGAACTCGTCTAACTATTTCGCCAGTTAGTCTAGATGTGTTTTGTGTGGGAGCTGGAAAATGAAAGCAAGGGATGCATCACTAGCAGAAAAAAGACCAAATAACAGTTCCTGCGAGCATATATGTACACATTTCATCAGTGTTTCGCACACTAAAAACATGAAAATAACCCAAACCCGCCAACATTGTACACGTTTCAACACGTTATTTTGGCCGTTTTTTTCCTAGTGCGTGGTGGCCTCAGGGAAGAGGCGGGCAAAAGGAATTGAGTCATTAGCTGTAGAATTCGATAAGCTTTGAAGATGTGCATGCACCGGCCGAGTGGAAGGGCAAATCGGTCAAAGCAATCTGAGGAAAAGTTAAACCGAAATCAAGGGGTCAGGTGGAAGGTTGATGATCTCTGGACAGCGAACGAGAAAGAAGCCACCAGTTCATGCATGTGTGAACGCGTTACGTGTTTGTCATTGAGGGAAGTCGAGCTGGTCTTAGGCGGCTACCCACGCATCAGGAGCATTGTGATGGGTGCGCTGCGAACCCTGCGTTCCACAGCCCGCCAATCTGTGCGGACATCGCTCACGGGAAACACGGGCAGAGGCTGTCCATTTCAGGCTCATGCTGCCGGCGATCCATCCGCCTTTCAAGCCGATCGCCGATGTGCCTATTCAACACAGAGCCTCAGTCACCCCACGCCTGATTTCCTGACAAAGCGGCGCGCATGTTGGCGTTGAAGCGCTAGGCTAGCGCCGTGCGGGACACCGTCCCGGGAATCAAAAGCTCGGCGGAGCCATCCTGCGCCCACATCCGCCCTGCCCCTCGCCTTTGATCCCTCAACTTCATCAACAGACGTCAAAAGACGTCAGCCTTGCTGGCACCGCGTGTGGCCCATCCATCCTGGCTCACAACCCTGGCTTACATGGCTTACCTGACTTTCTCTGACTTACCCAGGCTTGCCATTCGCAGCAGCAACCAAGCAACCACAGCAACCGCCACCCTCGGCACACAGTACAGTACAGCCCGCAGGAGCGTCACAGTGTGGCTCGCCCCGCTACAAAGCGCAGTGCCCCACATCCCAGCTGGCCCCAGGTCTGCCATCCGCGCCTGCGGGCGCCGTGGGCGATCTCCCACGAGCGACGGCACCCCCCCGCGGTCGCCACGCGGCGCAGCATTTGTGCAGCAGGCGCGGGGAGGAAAGCGCCTCTTCTCCGGGGCTCCCGCGGAGAAGCACGGCCCGGGCTGACCCGCGAGCTGACCCACGGCCGGCGGCAGGGTTTGACCAATAAGGCGGCGAGGGCGGCGGCTGGATTCTCACGGCAGGGTTGCCGCCGAAGGGGCGATTGTGGCCGCCCTGTTGGCGCGAAGGTTTGGCCGATATGGAGTTCCTGGCGTTCATGATCCTGGGGCTGGTGGTGGCGCTTGCGCTGACGTTCGAGGGCGAGGGGAACATCGGACGCCGGGCCGCCAAGCGCTGCGTGCCTCAAAGCCTGCTAGGCTGGACGCTGCCCCGATGCGCCAATGCCGTCCGCTGCCCCGCGACGATCCCGCTGGCCGCATCGACCGGGCAGCCAGCCGAGGAGGCGGTGCACGGGGCCGCAGTGGCGATTCCGGGAGGCCCGTGTCGGCGAGGGCGCGGGATGGCGCGCGTGGGAGGAGGGGCCAAGGGGGCCAGTGGGGTTGTGGAGGATGTGGCGGCGGCGCGCAAGCGGGACCTCGTGTACATGGTGTCGCCGCAAGGGGAAATGCAGGTGGGGGTGGGGTACCGGTGTGGGCGACGACCGGACGACGCCCGTCGGATCGACTTCCTGGGGAATTGAGTTGATGTCGTGCTGCGAGGGCGGGATGGGGACGCCTGACACTGGCGCCCCTTTTCGCCATTCCCGAATCTGTGCTGCTAAGGTCCTGGAGACTCTCCCTGTTGCGCACGCTGGAGGGGGGCGGGAGGCGGAATTGATTCCAATACTGTTCATTCACCCGGGGTGGGGAGCGACCCGCGCTGCTTGGCTGTCGTCTGGGGCTTCGCGCTTCCGAAATCGGCGCGCTGTATGTCGCATGGCGGCATCGGCCGACCGTCGTGACGCGGTTTATGGCCGCAGGCATACGACGAACGCGCCGCGCGGTCGCTCGAAGGCCGCGTGCGCCGCGCCTACGCCGACATGGACTTCCAGTGGGCGGTGGCCGTCCGCCTGAAGCCGGTGGCCCCCGCGGAGAGCGCCCGTGGACTCCACGATTCCATGCACGCCTTCGCCGAAGAGGGCTTCGCGGTGCGGCGCCAGCCGGACTGGGGCGCGATGCACGCCGAGCGCGGCGTGGTTGTGTCGTACGAGGCGCCGAGATCGATCACCAGCCTGGTGATGGGGACGGGACGGGGGGCGCGGAGCCAGAGGGTGTCCCCAGTTAAGGTGGCGCCGCTGCCCTTCGCGAGGCGCGGAGAGCAGGCCACGTTCTTCGCCGTGGACATGGACGGAGGTGCGAGGCGGACGTCCGTCCGCGTGTCTGGGGGGGGAGGGAAGATCGTCCTGCGCCTGGCAAACCTCGATGTTGCGGGGCCCGGCTTTTGCTCGACATGGAGGCGTGTGGGCGGGTCTGTGCGCCACGTGGGCTCTGGTGCGGTGCGTGGGGTGGGCAGTATTGCTGCGGCGCTTTTCGCTTTGCGGATGGCGCGATCGAAATTAGGGGTGCGCGGGGTTGACCGCGGGTCAGTGACAATTTGGCCATGTGACGTTCTGGCCAAGTATCGTACCCGCACCGGAGCCAATCAAGTGCTGCCCCGCCATTCGCTGGTACTCTGTGACAGGGACAGGGGTGCGCATTTGACGGCGTGCCGCGAAGTCGCTCGCTCTGAGCTTGTGGCCGGCCCAAGATGGCGGCTGAGGGCCGCTCCGTTGGCGCTTGTGGCGGCTTTCGCATTGTCGGGGATCTTCTGGAGAGACGGCCAAGGGCGGATTTTAGCCGGAATCCTCGCCAGGGACGCGCGACTGTTTCTGTTGCAGCCATCGACCTCGCGATAGGGCCACATATATTGGCCATGGCGCGAGGTGGATGGGCGCACCGCGCAGAAGCGGCAGCACGTGGCCGCTTGGCACCTTGCGGGGAGTTAAGTTGCACGCTCGTTTGAGGACGCAAACGCTGGCAAAGATCGACAACGTGGTCGTTGCCGTGTGGCGAGATCAGTCCCCGTTGGAAAATCAGCCTTTGCTGCCCCTTGAACATCGGCGCCAAATCGTCAATGGGCCAGACAATAGCGGCTAGCGAAGCTAGTCGAGAGTAGCCTGGAAAGTCTATGCTACCGTGAACAGCTCAAGGTGGGCGCGCATGAGCATCGTAACCTCGTCGCTGGTGTCCAAAGCAGCGCCGCCAAAATCAGTAGGAATGGGTCTCCCATTGGTCCTGCGTGTCGGCCATCCAGGCCCCAATTTCTCACCCCTGCACGAGTAGCCTTTGCGCCAGTGCTCTCCAAGACGACGGCTCCCTGCCCCGTGCGCCAGTGCCGCCTTGCTCGCGGCCAAGAGGCTCGAGCTCAAGTCAGGCGCGTGAAGTTCGCAAGTATCATTCAGTCACGCCCATATCGAACTGAGCTGGCAGCACTTTTCTACGCATCTGACAGGGTACGATACTTGACCAGAATGTCGCTTGGCCAAATTGCCACCGACCCGTTGATCGCTGGGCACAGTCTCTCATGACCTTGTCGATGACTTGTATGAGAAGATGTTTGGTCCCTCTGTCGTTTTCAGAAAGACCCTTCTTCTTCCACTGACAAGGCCAACGCCGGTCAGTGGGTCAGTAGCTTAGGGCGTCCGAAACAAGAAGGGATCTTCACGGAAAAGACGGAGCGACTAATTGGGTGCCGGCTTGGATCCACGTGGTGCTCTGTGCGGGGTGGTTGACAGGTCGCAACGGGGGGATGGATGCATTGATCGTAGATAGATAGGTCCTGATCTATGATGTACGATGGATCGGATCGCAGCAGGGGGTATGTGTGCATGGATCGTGGATGGACAGATCTTGGTCGATGATGTGTGATGGATCATGCATGGCTGTCAGGTCTTGAGGCTTGCCAAGTTTTGAACCGCGTGTTTGGAAGAAATGCACTGGAAGGCGGTTGACGTGCCAGGATTGTGGCCAGGGCGTCGCATCGGCCAGCGTGGTGGTTTTCGTGGCGCATTTTTTGTTGTTTGACGCCTGCACAGTCACCGGACTGCGTGATCGCGTGACGAGTTGTTCTGGCAGCGCATTCCGGCGCTGACGCCAATTCGCACGAAAATTCCGGTCGCGGCGCCAGGCAGAAGTTTGTTGGAGGGCTCGTGTACTGCGGGCCGATGCGCATTGGGGCCATGTATTGCTTGCTGGCGATGTTCCTGCCCATTCAATTTGTGGTGCGCTGGGGACGGCCATGTACCTGCAGGTCGCATGTGGCTTGAATGAATCCAATACGACGATGCGGCCGGAATTCCGTAGTGATGGCAGCTCCGGTGGTGTGCTGGCTGTACCACACCCCTGTGGCCGCGGATTTGGAAGCTACAGTTGTGCGTACTGCGCGTTCATTCGTGCAGGAGAGGGCAATATACGCTACCACTGTTCTGCCGGGTACATGGTCCACTGTTGCGCATGGGCTGCCAATGGCTGCTGCTTGGGTGAATTCGCCTTGCACGGGGCCAGTACTGCTGCATCTCCGAAACGTTTATTAGACAGCAGTATAGTGACGTTTCGAAAATCCGATGCAGCACGATAGGCCACTGTGCACAACGCGCAATTCCGTGGCGGCTGCTGCCATGACCCGAACGGTATGCACACAGTGTTGTTTTGCGCAAGATGCTATTGTCTCCCAATCGCGTATGGGCACATGAAGCATGAATTATGCCTGCTTATGGTGCGCTTGCCCCTTTTCAGGAGACGCGCGTCAAAGTAGAACGGCCTCAAATGTGTCACCTCTCAACGTCCGACACATTGGCTTCAGACAATCTGCTGCGTCTCAATCTGTATACTGCTGTGCAAGATGCATTGTGTACTGTAAAAGTGTGCAGCGCATATGTTACATGTGCAAGGTGTTTAACAACTATACAACGTTTGTTTCCTGCTGCGCAGGCGAGAAGGATGCGCCGCCGGCAGTCCAAGCCTTCAAGTCGTTCGCCGGCGCCTTGAGTGTGTGCGAGCACAAGGCAGAACTCTACGCCACCGCCAGCTTCCTCATGTCGTCGTTCCAGCAGAAGGTGCTGACCACGGGGCTGAAGGCCGAGCAGGTCACTGTCCCGGCGGTTCAGATGGTCAACATGATCGAGCGCGACTCGCCCTTCCACGGCGTCTTGGTTCCGCTCGAGCTGGAGGAGAAAGAGCCGCTGTGCTTTTCGGCGGACAGCTCGAGCGAAAGGGAGCGGGAGGCCGCGGCGTTCCTTGAGGCCTTCACGCACTGGACGCACCACAGGACGAACGGGGAGCTCATGGTGGTTGCCAACAAGGTGGGCCTGGTCCAATGATGGGGATTCAACTGTCGCATTGGCAGATTAGGTGCTTCCGTGAAGAATAGTTGTTCTGTGGCTTTCAGTGCTGGCATCTGCTCTTCACTTGTGTTGAGTTGCGTTGAGCGGGTCTGTTGCGGTCAACGCTTTTGACGTGTTGTGCTTGCTGCCTGTCACAAAACATTCCCCTTGCCCAACTGCAACATCACTCCCAACTGGGAAGCAGCTGCATTGCGCGGAATTGTTGGGCTTTCTCCCTGAAGTAGAATGTGCCTCGCAATATGGACATCGCTGACAGTAAGTCTGTTGCGCAATCAGGGCGCGAGAGCGCGCGAGGGTGGCTTCCTGGTCGCCGACCCTGAAATATACTGCAAGGACTTGCGCCGGTTCGGGCCGACCAACAAGGGCACAGAGGGCATGAATGGATTTTTGAAGAGCCACGTCTGCAGCCACCTCTGTGACAGGCTCATGGCGGAGCAGCCACAGAAGCGGGAGAGGCGAAGGAGCCTGAGCCGGTCCAGCAAGTAATACCCCACTCAATCAGTCCATATGTCCTAAACATGCACCTCGTGCTGCCTTTGGGAAGTTTGCAGGATGCCGGTGGATTGCCAGTGTCCCTGTCTTCGGCAGAATGACGGAGTAAACAAATGAATGAGTAAATCAACGGCAAAATAAAAATAAATACTTCCTGCGTCCAAGGATAATTGTCCTCTATGATTATGGGGCACGACTTCTCCATCGTACCCACATTAGTTGTCAATGAAATTTCGCCCAAAGTTGTGCTTGTAAGTTTGGAGTATGCTATCAAAATTTCAAGTCAATTCATTAAGCATTGAGGATTTGGCAGTTCTTTCTACCAGTGGTCTGTTACCTAGTGAGCCTCGGTATTTGGGGTCAAAAATGACCAAAATTTACCTTTCCCCTAATGCTCAAAGGGCTCGTGTCTCATTTTCTCTTCTTGAAAATTGGTAGCTAAGGGTTTTGCAGCCTAATTTTTCCATTTCTGAAACTTGTTTTCTAATTTTGAGGCAGTCCTTGTAACGAAATCTGTCTTTTAAATAGAGGACAATTAATTTTGGACAGAGAAAGTAGTTAATATTAAATAAATAATTAATTAAATGAATGAATGAATGAATGAAAGAATGAAGACATGCATAAATAGATATTTAGTTGTTGATTAGTTATTGAACAACTAATGAATAAAGTGAAATATTTTGTCAATTAATTAAACAACGAATGTTTAATGAATTGAGTGTCGCTGCGTGACTAAGTAATTAATTAAACGGTAACAGCGGTGGCCACAGCTGCCATGAAACGGTAAAACCCGTCTGCATCTCAAAACAATGCATCTATATGCGGTTCCCCCCCCAGTAACAAGAACCCTCAAAGGCGCATTCTGTCAGTGATTTTGTGCGTCCAGCACGCCACATGGTATTGCCAAGTCGCTGCTGGGGGATGCCGGGTAATGTTCTCATGCATAAATTGCCTTTTGCATTGAGCGTTTTGGTTCCGGCTCTACCGTCAGGGCACAGAGCATCTTGACCCACAGGAGTCTGAAGGACTCTGCCAAGGCGTGGTCCCCCTGCTCGCCGCAGTCTGTCAAGGAGGTGGACCACATCGACACTGGTCTCGTGGATTGGCTGTCGCCCAGGGCAGTGAAGCCGGTGAAGTGCGAGTGGGTGCCCATATGGAGGGCACTGAAGAGGAACAGGAAGGTATGAGGAGCAGGATACGTACCCCTCCCTGGGGGGTTGGTGCGAGTGATGTGTATGTGACAAATGAAAGAGATCGTAAGGAGTGGAAAGGATCTGGGCCGCATTTATGACGCTGCTAGCTGTCTGAGCGGGGAAATGATTGCATCCACTGACAAGAATTGCGACGAGACAGCAAGATTGTTGTCTTTGGATGGGATATTGAGGTGGCATTCAATGCTGGATGAGTGATCGCCAATGTGGAGGCGACCGATATGTCTGAGGCCTTTTCTTGCTTTGCAAGAGTTGCTGGCATCAGATCATGTTAGGAACACAGGTGGTCACTGATGTGGGAAGATCAAGAGAACATGATATGCTGAGCACTGGAACAGGCCCTGCTGGACAGAGTCAGAGAATGCACATGACTGCAGAAGGGGTGGAAGGCAGCATTATATATAAGTTAAGCATTGCAAAAGGCACTCCTTCCTCTCTTGAGGCTGCTGGGGATCACAGGAGGCGCTGTGCCGGCCACTGTGATGTCGAGTTGCAATAACTGCTGGCATTGGGGATGGCTGGACTGCCGATTTTCCTTTTTCAGTTTTTGGTGCGGGACTAAATAAAATTTACACCGTGCGTGGGAAACAGAAGTTTGTCCACCTGCATGCCTGCGCCGGTGTGGGTGCGCATCTCTGCGCCCTCATCTACTGCCTGTGGGAAACGACGTGCCGTCTTTTGAATTTTTTGCCGCTGCTCATAGTCAGTATGGCACTTGTATATGATGACAATTGCACGATGGTTGTCCTGCAAGGTTTGCATGTGGTCGAGGGGTTGGTTCCTAACCACACTTTTTGGTTGTGTAGTTAATCGCCCCTGGGGATGCTGACAGGGGTCCCTCTTGCCTGTTCGCATGATAGCAGTATGAGGGTTGGGATGGTGGAGTGCCTGGACGAGCCAAGGGGTACTGGAATAAGTTAGGATTCACAAACGAGGGGGAGATTGAATTGATGTTTCCCACAGGGGAGACTCGCCTGATCGTGTGTGTGGAGAACGCATGAAAGACGGCAGGTGGATCAAGCAGCAGGAAGGATTCTTGATCGCTCAACGCTTCGCTTCTATTCAGGGTATCGCTATGTCTGAAATTCAGACTTTGAATGTACGATTGGTGTATTCTATTTTTCATGTAACGTCAATTGATCGCTCCGTGGGAAGTCCAGACCGGGCTGTGATGGTATCGTCAGTGTTTTCATGGGGCTGTGTCCAGGTCTGGATGGTGCCAAATACGTGCGCCGTGGCCGTGCGCCCGGACAAAGGATGTGGCCCGTGCAAGACGAGAGCACACTTTCATGCCCGGGTCCGCGGTGGTGACTCCAAGCTTGCTGTACTGAGGGGGGTTGCTCTCCTTTTTTGTATTAGGAAAGATGGGGCTCTGGATTATTGGGGCGATTGGGTTTTGAAGTTAAGGGAATGGTGCAAATTGCCCTGTATTGCCTTCAAGGTGATTGGGCGCTTTTGTCTTGCAGGTGATGTGTGAGCAATGTAATGAGCACAAGATCTTGGATGTGAAACATGGCGAGGCGATCGCTTTGCTGTCATTCTGCTCACAGGTGGCCAGTCATGGCCGAATCGTTCTTGCGCTTGTCCTGTTGTTGCTGTGTGCTGCGATTGGGCACAGATGTCTGCAGCTGTGCTTGAGGATGCAGTGCGAAATCGTATTACGAGCGCATTCTTCTGTGGCAACAGCTGCAAAATCATGCTGGGCCCGCTAAACGCTTGTCTCAGCACAAGGAATGCCCAATTCAGCCTCAAAGGATTTGCTTTGTCCTGCCGCAAATGTGATCTACTGAGCAACACAATTGCACGAAACACGGGTCCAATTGTCTTGTATGCCGACAACGGGGTTGAAATCGCTAGCGCCAATTCTGAGAAGGCGCAGGTAAGTTGTGGAGGATTTCTGCCTTACCGGTCTCCTGAACCCACCCCGTCATGTACCCCATGACAATACTTACAAACAACCATCCAATGTCACATTCCCGAGGTTCCCGTCCGTCAAACTTGCCCATTCGCTTCGCTAGTACTTCAACGCCGCTTCAGTGAGTGACTCCCCGTGAGTCAGATCCCTTTCCTGTACTTCACTCCCTCAACTCGCTCTCCATCCCACAACTAACCCGAACTCCACTATCCAGGGCGGGAGGGCTGGGTGCGAAACAAGATAAGGAGGGGAACCGAGGGGCTGCCTAAATAGCCGCCCCCCGCCGCCCCGCCAAAGCCCGCCAAACTCGAGGGCGCCCTCGCGGGCGGCACCTCGGAATACCGTACTTTGACTGACCCACGGTACTAGGGGTGGCCAGAAATCCCAAGGGACGGGGTTGAGTAAACCCCAGGTTCAAACTGCACCGTTTGAATCGCCGGTGCAGCCCACCCATCGTCGCCCTTGGCAGAAACCCATTAACAGGATAGTTAACTTCATAAATTATCTGTTGCTTGGGCGCGCGGCTGCCCTGTCTCCACAACGGCTGCGCCCAACTGGAATAACGCGCATCTGCCTCACCGGCGCGCTGAGCAGCAAAGGAGCACCCCTTTTGACAAACGCATCATGCGCCAAGTAGTTGACGCAACAGTGGCGGCTTCGCGAAACCACCTGTCCTTTGCAACGAGCATTACAATGCTCGCAAGGACGATGCTAATAAGGCCATTGGTGTGCTTTCTGACGTCGCCGCGGACTTGCTCATCGTCACAGACAGCATTGGCATCGAGATTGCCCCGGCATCCAACAGTGTGCAACTGGGCCGCAACGCTGCAGCGACATGAATCTCCAATCTGTCATTTCTATATAGAAATTTGGCCGGCTGGTGACCCATAAAGGCAACCAACGGAAGAAGCATTATATGTCATCGCTTTCGGAGCCGGTCCGTGTAATGGAGGGCCACAAAGTGCGAATCTTGGAGTTGCTGATATCACCCTCAAAGCCCCTTACTGTTTTCCACAAAACCAGTGGACGACTATCGCCCCCAAGAACCCGATATTGTAGTCGCGAAAGCCTGTGGACGGTGGGGCAGTTGACGATGAACCCCGAAGAGCCGTAGGGCGGTCCGTCAGGCCCAGTGATGAACCCAAGCTCCACGAGGCCCAGGATTTGGAATCCTCGACCAGGCGCACCCGGTAATTGTTCCCGACGGCGCAGTCGGTCCAGGGTCCAAAGTTGACGTCCCAAAGGGTGCTGTAGTCGGTGGCGATGGTTGGAATACCTCTCAGAATGTTGAGAGGGAAGCCATGCCCGGGAAGGGTTGGGATGGTTTTCCCGGGCCGTCATTTCGGTTGGTGATGTTGTCGTCCGTGCATCGATGGAAACCGAGGTGTCAGAAGAGCGCACACGGATGGGTCAACGTTGCCCGTACCCCACGCATCTCGCCCTATGAAAGCAAGGCTGCAACATGAAATCCACGAGGTTCCTGCGGCAATTCGGTAAAGCTCTTAGTGGAGAATTGAAGAGCTCTTCTTTCCCAGGACAATGGAACCGCTGCGTTCACAGGCACCGCGTCTGCTGCGAAACGCTGCCATATTCTGTTTCCTGCATGACGCAGAATTTGCCATCAAGGCCTTTCGCCAGGGCGGGATCCCTCGCTGCATTGGCGGTTGAAGGCGTGCCTCCGTTGGTGAAGCCGTTAGTGATGGCAGACAGGGGCTCCACAGGGGAGAACAGCGAGTCATCACTGCCAACCCGGATGTTGCCGAGAGCCGGGGAATAAGTATTCCGACGTATACGTGGCGCTCTCAAGAGCGGCAGGCAGCAACATGTTCGTCCCCGTGCTTGGCAACAAAACAACTGAAATTGCTGTAATGCTCCCCTTCATCCGTTGAGAAGATTCATGTACGAGAACGTACACGCGGGTGGTGGGTGCAGGCAAATTGAAAGGCTGGCATGTTGCAAACTTGGAGAACGAGTCATGGAAGCGTTTGATGCTGGTTGATACCGTGCCCGGATCGGAGAATGTGCGATTTGTCAGCTCACGGTGAGCCCAACGAAAGCGCTGCAATGCGCATCACTGCAACGCAGTTCCGCAGTTCTCAACCAACAACCAAGATCACCATGAGAAGCTGATAAACTTGGTTCCGATGAATTGGCAGCTTGCATTGAAGTTCATACCTGCGCGGTTGAAATTTGTAAACTCATCTAAGCACGAGAATGCCAAAATATTGCTGATGTTTTCGCCACCCTTCGATACAGCACTGAAACCGAAACCGAAACCGAAACTGGTCGGCCGAAACTGAAGCATTGGTGAGATTCAAGGTCACGGTGCCTCCGAACCCCTCTTCTTCCGGGCAAATGGCCACCACGCCGTCGTGAATGAACTCATATGTACATTTGTCGCCTTCAGAGATGCTATCGAAGTACTGCCTCAGAAAAAACCCGCCAACGGCCACTACGGCATAGGCGCGTTGTGCATCTCGCTGGCAACCATAACCAGAGGGGAATATACATAGACCCTGCGAGCGGAAAGCCAATGATGGTCGACCAGATTTTGCGGGCCATCCTACCCAATTTGCCCAACTGCTTCACTAAGTCGTGAGGAGACTTCCAAACACAGGAGTGGAACACAAAATTGCTGTTGCAATACAGAGTGCATTTTCGTGCAGCCAGTAAGCTAGAAGGCTGCACGTGCAGGGATTTGGCAAGTCCAGATTGCTGACAGTCCTTGGCTATAAGTCATGCATTTAAATCATCCAAAATTTTTAACGCCCTTCCTGGAGAATGAAAACATCACGCGCAGAGGGCCAGCGAAACACGCACGGCTCGTTGGTCCATCAACGAGCGGTATGTGCCTTGGGAACCCGGCTAGAAATCCGTCAGAGGGAAGTAGTTGGGGCCTTCTCCTGGGACGACCCTCAACTCCTCCTGGAAGTCTACGGTGTCCTTGTCGGTGACGAGCAGCGGGCCATCGAGGCGCCTTTCGAGGTACGGCTCTTTGATTTGGACGTACTTCAGCTTGGGCGAGTGGTTGATGCCCAGCGGGGCGGTGTTGGGACCGCCGCTGGTGTCCGTGACTGTGTACCAGAATGTCCTGCCACCTTCCGTCTCGCCGTTGTACAGGGGCAGGCTGGCGGGAACGGACCTAAGGTCCACCGTGGAAAACCGGCCACGTGCGCTGGTTGCGAGTCAGGGATCGTGAAAACCGGCGTCCTGTGACTACCAGTCAATTGCGGAATGAAGACAACATGTGGTGCGGACCAATTGCACCGCTCGGGACCGCTAAGAGCATTTTTAAAGCATCTTTATCGGTGGGTGCTATTGTCCCGGCGGAGCTATTCGGCTATCCGAATAGCACCGCACGTCAGAAAACATTAATAACGGTTGGGAAGCAATAGCACCCCAATAGCACCCCTGGAGCTGTTCGGCACCGAGCGGCGCTATTTTGGCTCCGAATAGCACCCCAGAATAGCACCGGTGCTATTCGCGCAGAACATTGTAGTGCTGCCGCGATGCCATTCGGCGTAGGCATAGCACCCACCATTGCGGATGCGCGCAGGGGAGCAGTAGCAACGGCGGTATTTGGCAAATGCCGCCTTAGTAAGGTGGCACGGCAGCCAATGAGAACCGTTCCTGGACAACTCCGCCGGTGCAATAGCGCCGACCGATAAGGATGCTCGTATGCGCACGTAACCTGCCTGCTGATTGGTCAACCGATCACCCCAACGTTGACGCGCGACGCGGGTGTTCTGCGTCGTTCACGTTCGCATTGATTTTTGCATTTTGTGGTGACGATGCATAAAGATGCAACATTACTGCAATCTCGCGGGATGAGAATACCATCGCAGAAAATTCCGTCCGCTTGGCTCCGAACGGAAATGAGTCACACCCCCTGAATGTTCCAGATGCCACTGGGCGTTCCACGCTTGTGCCCAACATCCCTGGTGGCCTATATCCCCCGGTGAACGCCCAAGCAAAAGATGAGCGCTCCAAAACTTCCCAGTCCTGGCGAAGTGATGGCTTCAACACAGCATCCCCGGGCGAAAGAGCTCCTCACATCCCGTGGCCCCACAATCCCTCCACGCCAAATCGCCCAATGGACCCTTGCTCCAACTCCCTGTCACAATTCGCACTGGCGGCCTCGTGCGCAGCACCAGCACGACACACAGCAGAGCAGGGCACCCCAGTCCTGGCCACAAGAGGCCATCTGCCGCCTCAACTTCAGCACAATCTTATCATCTCCATTTCATCGTTGCCAAATTTACTTCGGGACATACAGCAGGCGGGTGCCATTTCCAACGCCTTCCACTTGGTGGAGGACATCCTTCTTCTCCGCGTTGATAACTGACAGGGCAGAGACTGGCGCCCAGCTGTGGGTAGCGACCCAGGGGCCACCGCGCGTGATGCCTCTGTGCGACCTCTCCACCATGCCAGTAGTGATTACTTCGGCCACCACACGGTCGGTGCCATTGGCGGGGGCATCCAGCACGTCCGCCAGATCCACCCACGCCACACCCGTCTCAGGCACGGGCTCCACCAGGGAGAAGAAGGCGTAGTAATCCTGCAGCTGGAGAGCATCACCAGAGGTGGTTTTGGGGAAGAAGGCAACCTTGTCAGGCATCCCTGGAGGCCACAGAGCAGGTGAGAGTTGCAGATGGCCACCAAAGCCCTCCAGGCGTCCATGTTCAATGGGAGCATGTGCAGCACATTGCAGCAACATTGCCGTTGTGTGTGGTGCTAAGGTGGCATGACGAGCCAGGCAAGTGAGCGACTGTCTGTATTGCTTGAGGCCCGGACTGGAAATGCATTGGCTACAATTGATGTCGAGCAAAAAGCCAGTGGCCTAGTGGCCTACGGGGTTTATTGTGGGTGTTGTTGAGGACACTCGACAGCAAGCTCGCCCTGCTCAGAATGCAGGACACGCAGGTCAACAGCCTCCCAATGCACACAGCCTACAATTTAATCAGCTCAAAATGCATAAAAACATCGAAATGCCAGCGTAATCGCAGACTTGCTGGTTTAAATTGACTCCACGTTATGGAGCATCCGTGCATGGAGCAATCTCTGATCAGAGGATGCCTCTCATGAGGCAAATGCAAATGAAATAAGTGGTGCACAGCAAGGCAAGGTGCTAATCATGAACGCCCGCGTGCTTCCAGCACTAGAAACAGAAGGTGCAGGACAGGTATGCAGGTGCGACTTTCAAATCGACTGACTAGCCAGCAACAGATGCTGCATATTCAGTAGCCCACACAGAAATTGATATAAAATGCCCGACAAATGGCGTCGACCCCCACCTGGAATGTCGAATACGAAATCTTCTGTGGATCCTTCTCCCGTCATCTTGGGCACGAGTATGTGGCCTGTGCTGTTTTTCTTGTTGGGCACGAGCACGTAGTCGCCATCTGGGGTCGTCTTTGGCTGTCCCAACACGCCCTTGAAAACTTTAACCACGCGCCCCTCGTCGATGCTGAACTCGAAAATTCCGGATGATGACGAGCACTCGACATACAGATGCCTGTGCACAACGACCTAGACAAGTCAGCAATCGAACGCCCAAAGCCGACTTATAGTCATTGCTCGGACATGCCATCCATGATCTGGATGATGCAGCATCAACCAGGCGTCCCGCGAGGTGTGGACTGCGCAGCCCCACATGCCGTATCTCCAGACGTATCGCCGGATATAGACATACGGCGGGTGTGGCGCTGCATATTCAACCCTTCCGCATCCAAAATTTTTACTGTTATACTTTTTGCTCCGCAGTTTGTTCAAGACCGTTTATTTCTTACGTTGCTCGGCAAAAAGCTTTACCAAAAAAGCGTTGTTTGTTTTATTGCGTTCTCCGCAAAAAAAGGGCCAAGCGCTGCGTTACTATGCGGAAAGGTCGAATCTACTACGGCAGGTGACGCAAGTGTCATCGGGCCTCCACGCCATCACCGACAGTACAGTAAAGCACCAATCCCGCAGTCAGAATCCACGCACGCCAGGCCGCGCCCAGCGTCCCCCCCCCCCCCACCCACCCACCCACACACCCACACACACACCTGTTAACCTTCGAGAAGGCGATGCCGTGGGTGCCGGGGCACACTGCGCCCTCCCCGTTCAGCTCCGTCAGGTTGTAGAACACCACGCCCTCCTCCAGGTGCTCCTTCCTCTCCAGGTTCAGCTGCACGATGCCGTGCTCCTTGGTGTTGGTCGCGAACGCCAGGTCACCCAGGCTCTCGTCGAAGGCCAGCTTGCCGTGGGACGCCACGCTGACGAAGGCCTCGTACTCCCCAGCCAGCAGGCTGGAAGTGTCGTTCAGGTGCAGGATGTCGAACGTGCCGTCATCATCGGCGTGCGCCCACACCTCCTCGCGGTAGTGCACCGCGTATATGTGCACAGGCCGGTCGCCCATGTCCACCATGTCGACGATCTCCGCCGTCTCTGGGTCAATCACCAGCAGCTGGTCGTTGGCCTGCTCCGCCGCGACCACCGCCCTTGTGGCGCCGTCTAGAGACTCGATGTACACAACGTCTCCCCATGTGGCATTGTCAACGGTCACCGTGCGCAGGACCCTGCCTTCCTGCGGGTCCACGACGTCGAAGCGCCCGGGCGCGAAGGAAAAGAAACGACCCTCCTGGGCGTTCCGGAACTGCTCGTCGCCGACCTTCACCGCGCCGACGCCGCCGCAGCAGAGCGCGAGGGCCGCCGCCGCCAGCAGGGCGATCCCGCCGCGCAATGCCATCGGAATGACGATTGACGCCTTGGGCACTCCCCTGCTCGCCGCCGGGCGTCAGGGCGCCTGGCAGATCGCTCGCGCGGCCGATGTGGGTGCTGGAAGGCGTGCCTGTGCGGAGGACCGTCGGCCTTCGCTGCTGGCCGACTGCCCCTTTGGGCACGCGCCCCAGCCCTCTTGTCACGCAAGAGCTCGGTACGCTGGGTCTGGTAACTCGTACTCCGACAACGCGGAGCTGGGCTCCTGTCCCGGGGTACGAACTGAGATCACCTTGGGATGTGACATCACTCGTGTGGAGGTGGTGGGGGTGGGTGGGGAAGGTCAGACATGCAGGCACGGGGCCGTAAGGGGAGTGCCAGGACGCGTGGCATGCAGGGGCCCACAGGGGACAGGCGGTGAGCATACACAGGACGGGAGGGGATGGGGCAGGGGGACGACTGGGAACGGGAAATAGGACGAGCAGCGCACTCGTTTGGAGGAATTGGTCGGTTGGGGGTTCACGGGCGTTGCTTAGTGATCAGTAAGCCAGGCCGGGTGAGGGTCTCTTCGGCGCGAAGAGCGCGTGAATTGCGCACAGAGAGCGCCCTCCAATGGGCGCAGCGCCAAGAGAACCAACTCAGCAGGGGCCAAAGTGTGGTGACCCTTTGTCTTGCAAGGGGTAGTGCAGCCACCGCGCTCCAAGCATGGTCAACTGGCTCTTGAAAGATAAAAACGAGGTCATTAAATACAATGCGACGATACAATGGCCTGGGCTATGTTCTACGATCTGCCCATGCCACCTTCAAGCACTGTCACGCGGCTCTCGCGGTCCCTGAACCCAGATTTTGTCCCAAAGCACCGCCAAAGCTTCTCTTGTGTGCGTGCCTGCTCTGGGAGCGTGAGGTCGTCGGAGACGTCCATGTCCTCAAGGAACCTTGACATGGACAGCGCCAGAGAAGGGTATGCATCCCGACGCTCTTGAATCAGCTCTGCGGACGTCTGGAGCTGGCTCCTGAGGCCATGGGCGAGGAGCACCTGCAGTGTCAACGTCACTCAGGGAAACTTCATTCAAGGCAATTCAAGATATTGCAATATTGGAGATGTTTGGGTGTATATTTTTCATGGTAATTGACAGTGCATGGGATGCTTGCTGAACGCGTGTAGGGTCCCGACCTCCACAAAGCGAGCACTGTGAAGTGGGTGCACGAGAAAAATCGAAGCGGGATCCACTAAACGAATTTTCGGAAACACAGGCAGCATGAACTGAAACATGGATGGAGTGCAATATAGAACGGTGTGTGGACGGAATGGGGCAACCATTTGAAGTCCCCATACAAATCCATATGGACAATGCTGAGCACGCGTCCTTTCAATGGTCACATGTTGTCCAGTGGGTATGCGGCACAGTATAGGACAGCTTTGGCACTGCGGTTTGCCCTCTGCAGCGACCACAGTCAATCGGCAGTGGTGGTTCTTTGACGCAAGTGAGCAGACTACACTCCCGATAACCTTGGGAGAAATCCCAAGTACGACAACCTTGTACATCTTGCCATAATATTATCCTGAACACAAAGGACGAACGATTCCCCCACATGACTTTGCAAGCTACGAGGCAGCACTGCTTCTCTTCAGTAAAGCCAACTGCGAACAAATATTCGTCTGGAGAAGCACCAGGAAAACTTCACAATGGGCAGGGGATGTGCACCTGGGACCTGAAGATCGCCTTGCCCATGCTGAATATTGTTGGAGTCTTTGGCCCACCAAAAGTCATTCCCTCGGCAGTGCGCTCTGCAGAAACACAGTCAGCAAGCAACGTGCACTGCTGCACTACCACCCGCAGCCACAGTTGGTACACCGCCCACGCCTCCAGCACATGCATCCAAATACAGCCATCAAATTCAACACATCCTGACGCAGCTTGCACAGACGTGTCGTGCTCCAACCCACAAGTATAGATGGGGCATGGACAGCTGCTGCATCCCGAGGACTGCACAGTCGACTCGCTGCAAGCATCCCAATCTGCCTGCTCTCCCACACAATGCTCCACAGCCGCATTGTCCTGAGGGCTGCCAGCAGGCAATCGTTGCCAAAGCTCACTCCCAACCCCCTGGCTGCCAGTCTTGCAGGCCACTTCAAGGCGGATGAGGTCGGCTGCAGCAGTGCAGATGGCACACAGTCCATCGTATGTCTTGCTCCAGTCGTATTTGGTGAGCTGCAGCAAGTGCTGCGAAGCGATGGCAACTGTGGCAGTGAAGTTATCTCCAGGTGGTAGCAATGTATACAACTGAATGGATGCCTGGTAAAATGTGGCCACCAGGCCTCCAATGAACGAGTCTGCAGCCCTTCCTAGGCACGTCATGCTTTTGTACAAATACCAGAACTGTCCTGGATGGCAGTGGATCTTGGGCCGCAGGACTTGGTCTTTTCGTAAATGCTGATCATCGAACTGCTGGACTTCTGGTAGCCGATGTTCTCCGGACCCACATGCAGCGCGGGAACAGCTGAACGGTGGCAAAATCATCCGCGCTAATGGGCTGACCAGTCCGCACTCCTCTGCACCTGTTGGATGCCCGGGCACTCGTCTTTCAGTGGGACTGTCATTACTTGCCCTTTTCCAAGCAACAGCGCCGGTGTGGGAACCAACGGTAGCAGAGCTCAGCACTGTCAATGCAAACTCGAGTTGCTCCGCAGAGGCGCTGGAATAGTCGACTTTGGGAATCCTTATTGCCTTCCCCGTTGGCCATGAATCACTCGTGGCTGCGTCTTGAGGGTATCCGCTTGGTGGATCCGTCAGTTCGCTGGGAACCGGCAGAATGGGCTGCAATGCCTCGAAGACGCCAGCAGGCAGCCCTGCGGCCCTCTCCTTGAGCGTGCTGCACCGCTCCGCACCTGATTCCCAACGATGCCGGCCGCCCAGCCTTTTCCACAACCCCGACCACACCTCCTCGCTCATGGCCAGACGGTGCAGCCTCTGGCTGGCCGCGCTGACGCTCACGACACCCCTCGGGTCAACAAGCAGCAGAATTTTCATCACCAAGTCATCCGACAGAGTCCCCAGGCTGGCAACATGGTCGCTGCTCGAGCACTCTCCTTCTTCGCCTTCCCATAATTGCGTCTTTGGCCTCTTCGCCGACGGCGAATCGGGTGAAGCGGTTTCCGCCCGGCGGGATGCTGCCGAGGGTGACGCGGCTTCCGGCAAGACTGCTTCGCCATCGAAAGCCTGCCGGCATTGCCAACGGTCCCAGCCTCATCGCTCTCCCATCCAGGGCGCAGGGGGATCCCCAACAAGGCCCCAAGACTATTGAAACGCACGGTCCGCTTTTTGTGGGTCGACTTCAACGATGCCCCCTTTCGCGGCGCAGTAACACCGCGGCATCCCTGCCCACCACTCGCCAACGAGAGCGCACCTGTTCCTCCTGCAAGTCGTCAAGGTCGCGCCGCCAGTCGTCTACGCGCCTGAACGACCCGTCCTGCGTGGAGTAAGCGCCGGCGGGTCCACCTCCACCCACGTCGGCCGTCCAGCCAGGAAAGTGGAACTCCAAGCCAGCGCTGGCCCCACGTCCCTGCATGGCGTCAACGACCCGGCCTGGACTCCACGCCCACACCCGCAATTTAGCGAACAGCCCCCTCTAAATGCTAATAATGACCAAAATGATAATTAAAAAGGGAATATCTCAAATAAACATTGGAAGAATACCTCCAACAACAAAAAAATAGATGAATCCCTCTAATACGATAAGTAAGTGCCTCCAAAGCTACCAAAAACATGCTGAATTGCCCATTGTTCCATGTCTGTGAATTTCTTTTCTTGTTACTTATTTCTTGAAGTACAATCGGCGAAGTTTCGTTCCTTCCGACAGGAATTCAACCGGGGAGTGTTGAAGTATAGCGTAATAAATCGTGGTCAATTTCAACTATGCTGCGTTTATACTTCATTTCTGCTGCGTGGGCTTCGTCCAAGAATAGATTTGATGGCTGGTGGCATGTCGGGCCGGCCGGTTGTCATTGGCAACGGCGTTGGGTGATTCGGTGGGAGGACAGCTGTGGGGTTGAATCAAGAGCAGTGACAGCTGTAATGCTTGAAAGGCACGTTGTATTATGTGATGCCAGTGCGGTTGTCGGGTTGAATGGTGAGTGGATTGACAGCTGGAATGTGTGAAAGGATTGATGGGAATGTACAATGTGTGTTTTGGCGTACAAAAGTTGGACATGGAGACGTTGTAACAGATCCTTGTTGGTGCCTGGTTCCTAGCTCCGAGTGACGCAAGACCGCGTTCCACACCGCCTGGCAAGTCGCAGGCCCACGAAGCCCAAGGCGTGGCTTCCGTGAGGACGTGCGGCAGGGGATAGCTACTCGCAAGCGTCCAGACGCGGGCCCCAAACGTGGGGCATCTCCACACGCCGGCGCCTCACTAAGGCGCACAGTGAAGGGACGGTACGCCCCGTGAGGACTGTGCAAACGCGGGGGGAGGACCCCGTGCGCCGGCGAGGGTGTTGGCGCGACGTGGGGTGACAGGAAGCGACGGGAGGCGAAATGGAGGGCGCATTACGTCGTGCGTCGAAGGAATCGCGAACCGTGGACGGGACTGCTGCAAGGCAGAGGTACTGGCGGTTCCGGCAGCGAGTGCGGGCCGCGAACGAAAAAACAAAGGGGGTGATTTGCGCTCGCCGCTTCTCTGGCTGACTCCAGAGGGAAATCGCCCGTCATTCTGCGGGTGATGGGGCGTTCCTTTCAACAGGAGGTAAGCGCTGCGGCGACAGATATCCTGGGGAATGGTGGGTCCCCGTTTCGCCGTAGTAACGACATGTTAGACGGCAATGATTCGCACAGATGTGTCATGGGTCACCTATGTGCGTACGCACCGTGTGTGCGAATGCCCCAAACCAGCTGTGGCTCAAGCGAACAAGGGACATCGGTAGAGCTTCAAGAAGCTAGCAGGGGCTTGCGACGCTGCTCATGAAGCCCAGACTTCAACTGTGGAGGTAACGCAAACACGAAACTGCCGCTGGATGGAAGAACGTGCGTCGACCGAAATCGAACCGGGCCCGTTGCCTGGCAGGGAGCCGTTCTACCACCAGACCACCGACGCTTCAAGCTCACAACCTTCGTTTGGTCCTCGCCTGTGAAGCGATGATTTGCCACATGTATTTGTTTAACGTGTTTGTTCAGCACTGGGATCACCTCAACAGCAGATTCTTACCAAGCCGTGGAACGCGATTGCATGGGCGCGGGCGCTACGGGGCTACATGGGATTGACTGCGCACCAATAATGTTTAATGACGACCTCTCTGTTGGCTGTATCACTTTTGTATCGGCTTGTGAGGGTCTCCCCTGTAATTTCTTAAGATTGCGTTCAACTAGACAAAAAGGTGCCTTTGCACCTTGTGGTGGGCGATGACGGCCATGGATACATCCGAGACTCCTTGTATTGGTCTCCGCGTCTGGCACGCGGTTCATTGTGTGGGATGGTCCGGGTAGACCAGTGCTGCAGAAATAGTAAATCACGGTTCTGCAAAATGGACGAGGCTCTCAAGATGTTGTACTACAGAGATGAGCATTACATCGATTTAGATGCAGAAGCGCACCTGGGTGCATTTCGCATTTTTCTCGGTGTGGCAATTCTGCGTATTGGTGGACGCTTCCCTGTCAGAAATCCAACTTCTGTCAACTGTCTATGACGCATTCTGAAACCCCACGACACTAATGTACAGGAATATACAGAAACTCTCCTGTATGGAATCCATGCAACCCTAAATACCAAGTTGGGGTCGCTCAATTGCCACGCCACACCCGCCAGAGGCTCTTGCTACAGACAACCGTAAGCGATCAACAAGTGCGTTAAACGAAGCGCATTCAACGTCGACTCACAAACAATAAATTGAAGCAGCAGCAGGACCAGTTCTTGCCCCAAAACCCCACAGGTGCAGAGATCCTCAAGACCAGGCAGTGCCTTTTAGTTGCTCATTCTACTGGAGGCACCACAAAATCGAAATACCAGTTGCACCCAGATCATGCGAGCGCCCAAAACACCAACTGTCCAAGCTCTGGTCCACACCCCATTCTCAAAATTTACGGCACAATAGCTATGCCTCTTCGCCATTGACCCAACAGGTCGTCTAATCCCAGGGAGCAATGCTGCAAGTCCAAAAAGCACCTGACAGCAATTGCATCGGCGCGGCACTTCGTGACGGTGTCCACTGCTCTATCTTTCCAAAATCCCCTTCACGTAGACCTTTCCCTTTTCCGTGAATCCGAGCTCCTGGGCGCAAACAGACGCCTTTCAGCCCAATGAAGGCGCCGCCACGACCATGGCTGGTGATCCAGGGCTATACAATGTGGTCCAGCAGGAAAGATAATTCATCATCGTGGTGCTGGCAGCTCAGGGGAACGACTGCACAGGGACACCAATTTCTGACAGCTACTAAACTTGCACGCCGCAGAAAGTATTATTTCGATTTTGCGATTGTAACTCCATTTGTGAATAGTGGCGATATAGACTAGTCAACTTATAGCATTATCCGCCGTAAAATATCAAAGCAACTAGGGTACGGCGAGGCTTGGCTTGCAGTAAATGATTCAAACGGTCGCCGTCAGAAAATGGAGGGCACTGTCAACGAGGAGAGACTTGTCACAGGACAGCGCTCAGGTAGCTTTGCAGTGCAAAGTGGCATGAAGGGAGGCTCCAATTGTGGGGTGGCACCCTAGCAGTGGCCATGTTTCAGATTGCGCGGAGAATAATCGCGCCACGCAGCAACAAGATCATGCCATGGCCCCAAACGTACTGAAACCCTCAGCTCTGACAATGCCACACATGGCTGGCATGCACTGCAAGTGCATGCTGCCAACAGCAGATGCTTGTCTGTTTCAGGCCAGAATCAGAGGATCCACACATATTTGGTACAGCATTTTCACCTTGGACATCCGTGTGAGCTCCTCCTCATCTCCTTCGACGATAATATCAGTCTCCGTGTCATCATCGGATGAAATCATCTTCACTTTCACCTTCAATATGGCAGTGAACAAAAGATGTCGCATTCTCTCAAGCATTGCAGTGCACCATCAGCATCGTGACCATCCTGTGGAAGTTCATGTTGAATGTACAGCTAGCATAAGCTCTGACAAACTTTTGCTGGGTCCGCAAGGATGCTGCTGCACATGATGCGAACAAAGGTGGGGCAGATATTGGCCCATTCATTCAGCTTCCCCTGCTGCTGAAAATTCCCACGCAAATATGAACACCCAGGGCATTCTTGCATCGAGTTGTGCAACTGTTTCTGGCTATCGCACTGAAGCAGATCTGCACAAGAACACTACGCAACACCTCTACTGATCAAAATTTGCCAGATGCCACACAATCTGTGCAGCATCCTGAGTTGTTCAAACCAGAAATGGTTTTCACCCAAAAATGACAGTGGCAGGTGCCCTCACCTCCTCCTCACGAGTGCCAGTTTGCCAATAGTAGATGGCTGCCAGAGGGCTTGCAGCAGTCAAAACGTACCACCAGTTTCCAACATCGGGAAAAAGGGTGCTCAGCACAAGCGCAACACATCCCAGACCTGCACAGTCAATGCACTCATCACATTCCTTGGCCTCTCTGTTGGCTGTGGCAGGTGGCAATGCTCAATGCCAGCAAGTGACAAAGCAAAGCTCAGGTACCTGGTGGGGAATTACCTGGTGTGGCTTCCAAAGACCTCTAATGGGCCCCAGCACCCGTATGGCCTATTCTGGTAGTCAGAGCACAATGTGGCCTGCTGCCATTGTATAACAAGCATGGGGCCAACCTGGGTGCATAAACATCCAGCCATCTCCAACAGACATGATGCACTTACCAAGCTATGGAAAGGTGCAATACCAACACTGGCATAGGGTGGCTGTTTGCCAGCTGGCTTGGACACATGGTCCGTTTCTGGTTGATGGCGATAACAACCCTTTGTAGTTTGGCCTTGTGCACGACCAATGCAATCAACAAAGATTGCCTCAGCAAAATGCTGCTGCAGCAGATGGTAGGTTCTGCACATGGGTTCAGTTATGATGTTTGAGGACTTCTCACCTATGAATGTGTACAATGCCAGGGATGCTGCCTGGCTGATGTCCGCTTGGTATGTTCCAACAAATGTGATTACTTTTCCAGTTTCCTTAATCCTGTAGTTGTATTTTGTGAAGTACTGGGCAATGGTCTTGGCACGTTGGTCCATTGATGGTGCCCCCTCCACAGCAGGTCCGTCCACACTGTACGTCTTCCTCTTTATTGTTGACTTGGGAGCTCTTTTGATGAGTGACCAAAGCCCTACCATCCACAATAAGAATACCAATGGAGCATGAGCCGCTGTAAGCAATCCCAACTTCAAGTGAATTTACTGCAGGTTAAAACACGTACTCCCACCCCTTTCAGCACCACTGACACAACATCCAAAAAGGAGACAGAGTACAAATACAGAGATTTTAGTAAACCCAACAGTTTGGTACAGCATACAAGTCTCAAGTGTGCAGACTATCGATTCTCAAACCGTCAGCAACACACAAGACTGTATGATGGGAAAATGGTGCCCGCCAATGGTTATCAAAGAAATCAGTGGATGTTGGCAGCGCAAAGCAACGTGCACTTGACATCACCTGGCAGAGTTAAAACAAAGAGGCCAAGGGTGACATAGAGACTGCTCTTTGGTGCTGAGCTGAAATCCGGAACGTCAAAGGCCAATGCTGGGGAGGTCATCAGCCCAAGCATGAACTGGGATGCCATCAACGTGGCAACCCGAGGAACTGCAATCGCTTCTCTGCTGGGTGGTGATTGGTGGGCAGCATCGCATCTGATTATGTGGAGCTTCTGCAGCCTTGTGTATATGGAACTGCCACACAGACCAAGTATGGAGGGTCTCACCACATCTGTGACATGCCACACAAAAGTTTGCAGTCTTCTGATTGATCTGTGCAATGCCAATTCTTGTACCACCCAGTTGCCATTATAGGTTATCTGTGCCGTCCTGCAACTACGCTTGTGGCTTTGTGGCAAGCGTGTCATTCTAAAACCTCAATTCAGATGTGATATTCTGTGATATTTCGCCCTGCATATTCCAACCCACTGAAAAGGGTTGCCACACGAACATTTGCCCACTTGCCTAATCGACGCGGCGTTTTTCATTACATGGTGCGGTTCGGAATGTCAAGTTTCATTTGTGCCCACCTCAGCAATGCAGTACAGACCTGGTTTGCGACGGGAGTGCAATTGAACTCAGATGACGTCCCACAAACAATGCAATATGGGGCAGAGTGGGGACGTGTGCTCTTATGGCACACGCGGTACTTTCTGCGGGAAGTGTATGTGTACAGATACATAAAAGCTGCTCGTCCATTTGCTCACGGTTACTATGCCACCAACCGCTGCGAGTGGACTCAGTATGCTGTTCAAATACTGCTGCTCTGTACAGAACAAAGTAGCCTACGATGGGGAAGCTCTTCCAGAGAAACTGTGCCGCCGATTCTGGGTCGCCAGCTGACAGCATCTTGAGGAACTAACACAAATGCCCACGGCCAGCTGGTGCATCGCAACGCCCATAGGTCACAAGGTGCGCTATCCCCCACGCCTGCACCAGTCCAGCGCACGCAGTCCCAGTTCCTCACCATGGACCGCTTCAAACCTCGTCCCCCTCCCTTCGATCCAACCGAAATCGGCACAAGGCAAAGCATGGCACACCCGCCATCCCCTCCGATCCAAATGCCGGGCCAACAAGATACACGTGATCGATTTTTGCTTCAGATTCTGCCCTTTACAAACAATAATTCAAAGAATCCATTGGCTGCGGTCGCTGTGAGGACGTGGCTTGCCTGGCCGGCAGGGGCGCGGGGCTGCGAGTTGGAGGCTGCGTCCGCCCGGCGAAGACACGGCAGATTGGATGCGGAGGGCGGGCCGACAGTGAGCGACGCGACTCCCCGAAGCCTTCCGCATCGCAGGCATTCCGCCACGGCACTCGACGGGGCGGTGCGCGCCGCGGCTGTTGTGCAGGCAAGTGCAGCCGCGCTCAGGCGACCAAGAGGGTGGGTTAAGTACAGCGAGAACAGAGCGATCTGGGCAGCATCCGGTCCCGTTGGCCCTTGCCTGCTGGTGCCAGATTGCACACGGCAAATGCTGCCTTGGATGGTGGCCAACTGCACTGATTGCGTGTTGCTATGACATGACAAAGCAGCCCTTTCGCCGGGCTGGCGATGTCGCAATGTGATGTTCCGGAAACACATTTGTGTCCACCGAACTGTCGGCAAATCAGCGCACCAAGGACCGAAGGTGAAAGAGACGCCCAGCACCAAGAGAGGTGGCCGCGAGAGCTAAATGGGCACTCCATGAACAAAAGACAAGGAAACAAGAGTAGTGTCCAAGGGAGTCTGTTGCTGTCGCCACCATGTCAAGAGAAGCCGGGCTCGGCAGATGTATGTGAGTGGTGGTGGGTTCCTGGCTGTTGGTGCAAGAGATGATTGGGAAAGGGACACTGCACATCAGCCAACTGCTTTCCAAGTGACCGTTCCGTTGATTTTCTGCCTACTGGGCGATGCAGCCTGATGCGTACAGGGCAGCTGGTGCCCAAACACACACTATGCCCAAAGGCTGCCCGAATTCCGACAAAGCTGCTCCGGACTTGGTGGCTTCACCCTTGCCAAGACGCCAGCTGTTTCGTGGGAGACCAGGAGACATAAGCAAAAGGGGAACAAAACATGTGGATGCCAATCCAGCGCCTGTAATCGCCTTCTGGGTGCGTAGACAGTGATTTGTCGATTTTAGGCAATGTGCTCCAAAAGGAAATGAAACAGAAGCTTTCTTTCTCTTGGCTGCTGCCTTTCTTGTTCGCGTTGCCAACACTGAAGTTGTGCGCCTTTCCTCTGTACCTGCAGTGTGCGCAGGGCAACTGGGGAACGGACTTTGTGCACAATGTATTCGCTTGGAATTCTGGGCTGGCACTGCAGCATTTCTTGGCAATGACCGTTGCCTGGAAGTCATGCATACATTGTAGGACCGTTGTGCCATTGTTGTGAAATTCTGATCTGAATGCAACTGCCACCACTGATGAAACAATGCCCCTGCCCTTTCCAAGGGGATATGAGCAATTGCACCACAGGGACACAGCATCGAGGAGTGTCGATGTCGGCGAATCAGAGCACATTGGCTCAGTTGTGGGCACAGCGTGCATAAACAAATTGCAGGCTGCATCTTGTTCACATGGCCAACAGACTCCTGGTCTGCAATTTCCCCCATCTCTCTCACAAGAACTTCTCAGATACACACAGCCATGAGAGACAAGTGCAGTCCCTGCTACGGATCTTGCACAATGGAGATGCTGCATTTTGTGTGGTCACCAACTCACGACCTGGTGCGCATGTGAACAACCAGTTGTGCAGGATTGGCCAAAGGAAATGACACCAATCAATTGGCCACAGAATGCCACTTAACCCTGGCCAGCTGGGGTTCAATATGCGATTGCGCATTTTCCAAGGAAGTGAAACTAGAGACCATAATTTACTCCTGCCCTGTGCACACAAATGACCCAACCTGTCAGCAATTCCTGAAAGGGCATGCGGCCACTCTGGCAAGTTCTGTAAACAGCTCAGCAACGGTTAACAAAAGGCATTCCTCTCCCCCCGTGACCTGTCACTTTGGCACAGCCATGGCCAGGCTCTGACGCACACCATGCAGCTCAGAGCAGCAAGGAACTGTCCGATGCCCTGTGAAACTGTCTGGGAGCGCAAGATCTGTGTGACCGCGTCCGAGCACCCATAACTGTGAAGCACCACAGCCCCAGCAGCCCACATCAGGGAAGTTTCAGAGCCCTGCCCTTTGAACCAAAGGCTCCTGTTTGGGCTCTGTGAGCCCAGGGCAACCTCAGCTGCAGCATTGAATGAGTGCAATATGAGATGACAGTTCGTTAACTGGAAGAGCACACTTGCGCCTTGAGCTACAGAAATATCCCCATCACAATTGTAGAGGATGTGATAAAAACATGACATCTTGGTGCCAGTCTGTGTCGATTCAGCCAACAATGCGTCTCTTTCTGATCTGCCCAGCTCTCTCTTCTCATGGCGCTCAGGCTGTGGCACCATCAGCTCCTAAAAGAATCAATCGTGTCAACCACAAACATGCACAGTGCGAACTGGCCAGGGGTAGAACAGCACGCCCTGTGTGCTGTCATCATAGCAAGACCCAGCAGTTCGAGTATCCCTTGACTCTATTATTGTGTCGCCCCATCTCCTGGCAGAATCCCAGCTTCCCTATGCATCTAGCACCACACCACCACCACCAGTGCGCACGTTACCCAGCAAACTGTGTGCACCTCTCCATGTGGCCTCCACAGTTTCCATGGGAGCAGGTTCTCGAATCCGACCTGCAATGCATCTGTTGACGCTAAGCCTGAGGGCCAACAGAAAAAGGGGGCGATGAAGCCTTCACAAAACAGCCATCTAGCAAACGCTACCCATGCACAGTGCCAACTGCAACGGGCTCCCAAGCCACCGACCTAAAACCCCGACTCACTTCTCCTTACTCGAAACAATGCCATCCCCTCCTTTACTCAATTTCTCCTGTTGGAACGGGCCCTTGACGCCATCCACCTTCCTGGGCGTGGCCCCCGCCCTGCCCCGGAACAACACCCGAATGATTTTTACCATCCAGAACAGCTGCATAATGTACAGCCCCACAATTAGGAAGTTCCCGGGGTAGTACAGCCGCCACATGTGCGGCTCCCGCTCCAGGACTACCAGCACCTCGTAGAACGTGCACCTCATGACCGTCGCCGGCAGCAGAACCACCCTAGACGCGAAGAACATCACGCCGAAGAGGCTGAACAGCGCCACGCGGGTCCGCGCCATCTCCAGGTTGTTGGCCACCTTGGATATGTGCAGGAAGGGGTTGCTCAGGTTGAACACAGCCAGCATCAGCACCCCGAACCGCATGATGTTCAGCGTGTAGCCGGTGAGGATCAGGCACAGCGTCACCGTGTGGTGCACCGCCATGGAGGGCTCTTGCGCGAAGCCCACGCCCGCCAGACCCCGCGTCAGCATGTGCATGTACCACCCTATTTCAGCCTCGAAGAGGCCCGTCACGCGCCGAGACACCGGGATGTCCGGCCAGTCCTCCACGCAGGCCCGCGTGTTCAGCACCCCGCACTCCGATCCCGACGTCCACAGCGCCCACCAGGACCAAGCCACCAGCCAAAAGGTGCCGATGCCCAGCCACGCTTCCTCCACGTTCTTGTCCTTCGCGCTGGCCGAGCGCGAATCCGCCCCTGGTCCGGGCTTGCCGGTAATCAGGAGGTTGAAGGCCAGGCGGGCCACCGTGAGGAAGGCGAAGATGCCCAGGGAGGACCGCAGCCCGGCGCGGTAGTCGTAGTCCGCGGCGTCCATGGGGGCGTCCGGCTGGAGGCAGCCCAGCGCGGCTGCGGCCATCACGGGCAGTACCCCCCTGCGATTCAGGCGTCGGGCGCGGACATTGGGCACCGCGGGTGGGTGGGTCCTGCGCCCTGTCTGCGCTGCCGTGCTGCGAGTCAGCGCATTCAAATGCCCCAATGCGGGCACAGTCAGCCCCTTGCCATGTGTCCTGTGCCTGTTGTTGTTAGGTAGGCCCGCGCCTCGACCATTGGGGCATCTGCGGTGCGCTCGTGAGGGGGGTGGGGGTGGGCGCAGGGGTTGTGTCGCTTCCCAACCTGCGCTATATAATGGTTGGCTGATTGAAAGCTTGAGGGAATGTGTGCTGGTGCAGCGGTGGAAATCTGCAGGAAGGCGAATTTGGCAGATTTCGAGAGGAGGAATGGCCACTTGCAAGGATTGGTGGGCTTCCCCAGAACGCGAAAATAACACCTTAGTGAAATTCTGTGATGCGAACAGTGTTAAACAACGAAGCAAGCAGCCGTCATGATGTCTGTGCATATGGCACGTCACGCAAAACAGACATGCCTCCACAGTAATGCTGTTGCGCTCAACTGCGAGAAATCTCCTTTTGAAACACGGCGAATGAGCGGGGGGAGGGATCTCTCTGCGCACGTGAACGAAGCGCAGACCAAAACGCGGCCGCATTCTCTACCGAGCGCGGCGCAGATGAAGTTCTTCTCCATCGCAACAGAATCGCAGAACCAGGGAAACGTCCAAGAGTCCGTCTGCTTCCACGCGTCTTCCGCGGACACGTCAAAATGCGTCCGCCCCGGCTGATCTGCGACATCCGTTCCGGTTTCCCTCAACAATAATGCCCGCCGGCGGCCGGACGACCACGAGTCCAGCGACGCCTCGCCTCCCGTCAAGGGCCCTCACATTTCGGCCCGACGATTCCGGCAGCGCCCGGCGGGACTCTTCAAGGCGACGGAGCGACGCCGCCTCCAAACTCTCCCAATCGCCAAAACACGCGCACGCCAGCTAGAAAGGGCTGGGCATTCGCCCACGCGCCCCTGGCGGTGGTGCCCAACAGGCTGGGCTTCTTCAGGCCCCGAGGCCCAGCGGAAGACGGTTCAACGCAGCTTGAAGTCTGGCACCTGCACGCCCAAGTTCAGCCCGGAGGCGCCGAAGCCGGCCACGGCGTGGTGGCCGCAGTGCGAGCCCTGGAAGTGCTGGCCGGCGTAGGCCTGCTGCTGGCCGTAGGTCTGCCCCCACAGGCCGTAGGCACCCTGGGGGTCCCCACCGGGGAGGTGGGCGCGGCCGGGAGGCTGGTAGGGGTGGTGCAGCGGCTGCGGGTAGGGCGCCACGTGGCCGTCACCCTGCTTGGCGTGGAGGCAGGAGGCGCCGGGCACGTCGGCGGGGGGGCTGGGCCGGAAGCCGGCGGTGGAGTAGCTGGCGGCGCAGCTCACGGTGTTGGCGGCCACCCCTGGACGAAGCGGCGGCACGGCGGCTTGAGTAGGCATATGAAGATCAGAAGTTGAACACAGCCATTAACGCAATTTTTGAGTTTTGATGACTTAGTGGGTCAAAATTGATTGATTAAGTTTGACATTGGCCTGCTATCAGTTAAACAAATTCATTCTTGGAATGAGTAGAAGAGTATTGTATTAATTGTTTTAATAATACTTGCAACAGTTACTGGACGACGAATTTAATATTCATGGGATTTGCAAGTATTCGATACTGATGTATAACACCATTTCGGGCAATGAACATAATAACCTATATTATTCAATGTCTGTTACACAGCAACAAAATCAAATTCAAACTGTGGTCCAAAACTTGTACACGAGTCTTAACCTGCAAGTACTCGTGTCATTTGATTTTAAAAGTGTGCCAATAATCTTGGCAATGAGAAGGCCAATCATTGAAACTGAAAGAACATTACACAAAGTGGGAATTGCAAGGTGTTATGTGAGAATACAGCCCAGTGCGCTAGAAGAGGGTATGTCATGCAAGGCGTGAAGAGGCGCTTCCTTTGTAATTGCAAGGCGACAATGGGAACGCAAGGGACCCACTTCGATGCCCTTGAACCAGGCGTTGATCGCTGCAGTGGCATGTCAATTTCAGCATTCTTGGTGTGGGATGAGATAATCTAAGATTTGGCAATTTATCAAGATCCAGCGCAGCATGCATGTTTTCGCCAGAAGCAGGAACCTGGCTCGCATTTCAACATCCAATGTCCTGGGAATGCACTAGTCTGACTAAAACTCTTGACCCAAAAAATTTATCTATTTTTCTGTTCACTGTGGTTTGTGATTGATAATTTGTGGGAGTGCTTACTTACTCGAACGAACTGTCCTTATTATCCAAATTACCCTCGTACGCCACTAGCGGCTCGAGACTTGACATTCAGTTTAACTCTCAGATTGACGTGCTCAGCAATTTCAGATGCAGCGCAATCGGGTGCTCAGATGGTTGAGAATGTGGTTGGACCGCCAATAGCAAAACCTATCGAGGTTACCAATGTCATTGTCGCAACTGCCGTACGCAAATGTAATCATCTATACTTCCCGGTAAAACCAATCATGGTCATTCATCCGCTCATTGAGTTAGCATCCCGCCAAAACTGACAAAACATATGTACGTGAGATCTCCTAAAAAGAACATACCCCGTTCCCAATGTTTGACATCCGTGGACATCGGTGGGCAGTCCATAAGGAGCACCAAAGCTTCAGAGATCAGAAACATGCTCATCACTTTTATAATTGTGAAAATTTCTAAATGAGGCCTGCATACAGGAAGCGCCATTTTAGCAAATTTGGTGCTCAGCCTGCACCATACTTCAAAACTTCAAACCATACTGCAGCATGCAGTATAGTTCAAAGATTGGTGTTGCATTCTCCTGGACCGGCATAAAGAAAACCACCTGTCTGAGCGGAGCATGGTCAGCGACTGCTCTGCGATTCTAAAATACAATTCGCAAGTCACCCAGTATTCAGTGCATGCCATTTCTGCGGCCAGCAACAGGAACTTGAAAATTTCAAAACCTAATGTAAGAACCGTTAACGAGAGATTTAAAAAAATTCTGTTGATTGTGCTCTAGAATTTCCTAATCCGACAGTGTTTCGTGCGGAAATATTTGATTAGCGCTTGTCGGTTTGGAACATGAACTTTCAAGGCTGTGCAAACAGTTTTCCAATCTTAGCCTCAACATGGAAGTAGTCCTTGCAGGTCAGAGCAAAACAACTTTGGCGTAAAGCATCTTTCGGGGCTTTTCTATCAGTTTTGCATTATGGATCAATCTTTGATTGGTCACTCCAGTCGCATGCTATGCGGGGCCTTACAGGGCCATGATGGGCAAGTTGGAGTGGCGAGCGCTTTCGAACCCCACGACCCCTCGCACCACTATTTGGCTCATGATTTGGGCCACAGCTGGTGACAATGCCGCATTCTTGGGCGGCATCACTTGTCCCTTTCCCATGCACCTTTATAGAACCACCATTGGCGCCCTGGCATAGGCGCCCAGGCTTTAAAGCATTGGGGGTTGATGTGACCTCATCTCTCCGGCACGAGGTCACTGCAGTCAGATGCGAGTGGAGTGCGCCAGGTGCTGCGATTGGGCGACAGTCCGGTGTTTCTTTTGCGGCGCGCTGCTGCGCGGCAGATTTTGATTCAGGATTGCTCTGCGTGCCTTGGGGTCCGATGCAATGGGAGCCCTTGCCACGTGGGGGGCATGGCTGGTTGAGGCTTTGCCTAATCAAGGAAAGCACGGAGTGGGGAAAAACGAAGGGAAATTATTGTATGGTGCTGGGGCTGCAGGATGGGTGGATTGGTGTTGCTACTGGATGTAGTCAGGGCTATGGGCAGGGCATGTTTGCTTGCGATGTCTCGAGGCCGGCCGCAAATCGTTGATGGAGTTTTCTGGGATTGGGAGCGGGTGTGAGTGAACCTCGCATTGCGATAAATTTGGGGAGGGCGAGGGATGGCCTGGCGCATCCCGCAGATTATGCCCTGCTCTTTGCTGCTGACTGGAGATGGTTATCCTTAGATTGCCATCTTTGCGAGAACAGGGAGCCGAAGAGGCCGACGGGTGCTTGAGAAAGAAGAGTACTATTGCCTGGGGTGGCGTTACGGTCGGCGCAAAATTTGTGATCAAACTTTGATTTGTGCAACAAATTTGGAAGCCCAATCTCTGTGTGGGACCCGGTTTGCAATGCCACTCGTTGGCTCAGCCACACTGCCTTATGAAATTTGGGGAATGCACCTTTTTTGTGCGTGCCAAAGAGCGGCTTGAGCCAATGTTTGACAACATTTCTCACGATTATCAGTCAATACACTGATTTACTGTTCAGTGTTTTATGGAAAACTTTTTCCACTATGAAGGTGAATCAATGTCGATGGTCAGCGAATTTCAGTATCTGATCCCTGCTAGTTATCGGACATCACATATCATCAAAATTTCTCCAACCCATCAATTCGAGGAAGCGTGAGCTTAGACCAATGCCTAAGAATTATCAAAGCTACCCAGGATGACATTGTTAGAAAGGTTTCCGTTTCAAGGCGAATGCACTTGGGATTTCCATATCGCGTTACAATAATGACACGAGATTTCGGTGAAATGAAAAGCTTTGCATGCGTCGAAACTGCATGATATTGAAGCTTACAACTGCAGTTTCAAATTTAGGAAATACATACCACATTGGGCATTGAGTGCTGGACATCAAGCATTGAACATTTGATCCACTATTGAGCACTGAATGACGGAATATTCTGTGCAATGCATTCCAACCTCACAATGCGCATAAAATGAGAGGAAAAATGGCAGCGATTCATTGTGGCTTGATGAGCGGCATCCATTCAGCTTTCGTCTCTCTGTAGGGAGCGGTACCTGCCGGGTTCCACTGCGGCGTGTGGTACTGATGTGGAATGCCTCCAGGCGGCACGTAAGAGGCGTACGTGTTTCCCTCCGAGCCGTGGTTGAAGGCCGCCATGTGGCTCGTGTAGGGGCTGTAGCCGTTGCCGTACATGCTCTGGAA